GTCAAGGTCAAGGTCAGATCAGGTCAGATCAGGTCACCAAAAACAAAATATAGAAAAGGGCATGTGCGACACATGTTTTATGGGTCATTTTATTCATAGAATTCAATAGGCACACCCAATTAGTGATATGGACCACCTCTGGATGAATTTCAGGTCGAGGTCAGGTCAAGGTCAGGTCAAGTGAGGTCAAATTTTGAAATTGGTTGTTAAGGCCTAAAAAGGTGTCTATCTGATGCAGTTTTTCACGGCGAGTCGAATGGTGCTATTTTTGTTTCCGTACGAGGTCTAGAACTTCCAAAAAATTCATTTTTCAAAAAAATTATGTGTCGTGACGTCATAAAATTTTGAATAACTCCCATATTTTTGAACCGATTCTTCTAAAAATTGGTATGTAGGTGCACATAGACCACTTCTCTGACATAAATTCCGGTTTTTTCGATACACCCAAATTTTTGGATTTTATCATTATTTTCCCAAAAAAGTCGGTTTTTTGAAGAAAAAAAATGGCCAAAATCCAAAATTTTCAATAAACCGAGATAGCCATTTGATAGACAAACTAGAATCACGTATAACTTTTTGTAACGTCTTGATTCCTTTAAAAATGAAGATGTTAGCGGCGTTTGAAATTTTGCGATTTTTGAGGCGAAAATGGCGAACATGACGTCACTAAAACGTCATTTTCTCAAAAATTTTCGACGGATTTCGCTCAAATGTTCAGGGAACGTGTCAAATTGATGTATGATAACGTACTGAAAGTTTGACGTTGCTGGCGTAACGCGTTTAGAAGTTATTGGCGAAAAACGGGAGGGGGGCAGATTCTGCCCCCCCCCCCCAGCGGGGCGCGGGTTAAAGCTCAGCGACACTAAGGGCATATGTGGTGCCTTCGGTTATCGGCAGCACCCTCAGAATCACCGGCGTAGGGCCCTCAGAGCCGCCGGAAAGGGGCCTTTATGTAGAGGCACCGGTGTGGGGCCGTCATGCAGGTGCCGGTGTGGGCGCTCAGAGGCGCTATAAGTGTGATTCTCTCAGAGGCGCCGATGAGGGTCCTTACAGGCGTTGCTGTGGGCCCTCATAGACGCTGGTGTGGAGCTGTTACAGACGGGTGTGGGGACTTTAGAGCTGCTGACGCGAACTCTCTACAAGCCGGCAGGCGGCCTCAGTGACCGGCAAGGGGTCCTTAGGCCGGCAGAAGAAGTCCTGTGGCCTGTGGGGTCCTTAGAGACCGGCATTGTACATACGTCAGACGCCGGTGGGGCCCTCAGACTCACCGGTGTGGGACCCTCAAAAGTCACCAGTGGGTGGCCTTCAGATGCACAGGTGTTGGTTGGGTCCTCAGAGCCGCCGATACAGGGCTTAATTTTAATAGGCATTGGTGTAGGCACTCAGAGTTGGGGGTGTGAAACCCTCAGAGACACCGGTGTGGGCCCTCATAGGCGCCGATGAGGGCCCCATAGTTGCCGTTATGGGGCCCTCAGAAAAATAAGTGGTGGGACCATCACAGGCGGGAAATGCCCCTAGAACTGGCCCCTCATAGGCCGGTAACGACTCTCGGAGGCCAGTAACCTACTTTAACCCGGCAGTTGCTGGGGTATTTCGCCACCCACCGTTTGCTGGGGGGGGGGGGGGCGTTAAACGCCCCCAGCCGATAACTCGAGAACCAATAGGCGCAGCGAAACGCACGAGGCGGCAAACGAAAGACCGCGACGAGACGCTTCAGATGAGTACCTTAAAGTTGAATTTTGAGGTCACAGGTCGGGTCAAGGTCAGGTCAAACACCTGAAATCGGGCTTTCAGTAGCATGGATTTCAGGACTTCGCAATGAGCGCCTCTCGTCATAAACTCTGTCAAAACGGTGCACAATCCATCATATAAGGCTTACAAGAGTGTCAGCCCCATGTAGGGGTCAGTCAAGCATAGGTCAGGGTCAAGGTCAGGTCAACCGGGTAGGCACATATCCCCGAAAATCAAAACTGATATTCGCAGCCTGTGACACATGTTTTATGGGTAATTTGGGGCGTAGAACACGATGGTGACATTCATTTTATCATATGTGTACGTGTTTGGCTCAAAAAGTTCAATTTAAGAAATGTATGTATCATGGTCTTGAAGTAGTCACGAGAAATTGCCAAGATTCAGATCAAGATTTTGGCAAATGCGAAACGAAAATCAATAATCGAAGATAGCCATTTGATTGTTCATGGTATTGGCAGTCTAATGCCGTTTACGGCATTTCTGTATGTCTATTCTGTGATTTTATATGATTTTTTGAACATATGCCGTTTTTGGTCGAAAACTCAGAAATCATGACGTCACTAAAACCTCGATATCTCAAAAAATTTTCCTGCCGATTTTTTTTTTACCACCGAGGTGCCGTGAAAGGCGCAAGAGGCGCTCAGAAGCCGGCGTGGGGCCCTTATGGAGATCTTAGTGTGGCTATTTAGGGCCCATGAGGTGCTCTAACGAGCCCCATGGGGCGGTCAGCGGTTTGACCTTCAGCGGTCAAATGGCGCCGCGGGGCCCCTCGGACCCGAAGGTCCCTTTGAACCCGATGGGGGGGGGGGGGTACGTGTCCCCTTAGACCCCTAGCTACGCCACTGTTTCATATGCATCATGTCAGGTATTTTAGGCTCACCCCCCCCCCCCAACTTGAAAATCGTTCCCGGGCCCCTGCTGAACACCTCCCCCCCCCCCCCCCCGTCTAATTTGACTCCCGGGTTTGGGCCACATAAGTGACATATGGTATGCGGCGTTCGTAAAAGCGTCAAATGAACCATAAAAACAGTAAACACTCAAATCAAGTTTTTAGAGCCAGGTCAAAGATCAGGTCACCAGAGCATTAGGGCTCATCAAAGGTCGAATTTTGCTTATGTCATTGCTTTTTGACAAACCGACATATAGCTCGGGAACGAATAGTACATTCGTGCTAGAAAACGTGCGCCATCGAACCCATCAAGAGTCGTTATTGAATCATATTAATTATAATGAATCATCAACAGTACCTATCATTGAAAAGCGCATGACTGCAGCGCGCCGGAAAAGCGCATTTGATAGCTCGAATGCAAGCGTACATACATAGGTATTCGACAGCGCTTTCGAAACTTTTTTCCTATTCATACTCTATATAGAATACCCAAGACAGTTAGGATAAATGATAACAATAACACGTCAAATGTATATTTACACACACAAAGCTTTCGGTATGAAAATACCTTGATCACTGTGTTAACAGAAATGAGGACAGAAATTGTCACCGGCAGCTTGTACAAAAATATAAAATAGCACTCGAAAAATAGATCACAATCACGAGATTATCTATCGGGGTCCTGCCACTAAGCTTACAGCGCATGTTGCTAAAGTTATAAATCCAGTCCTAGTATTGATGGTATCGCGTTCTGATATGTGAGCCGCTTCTAAGATTTTTTCGTGTCGTTTTTCGTGCGCCCTTCTCTAATAATCGAGTTGCTCACCAGCTCGGTAAATGATGAGATTGTTCGGCATGTACGACGATTGCGTTCGATGTTCGATGAAACTTAAGGTCACTTTTATTTTTATAATAAGAGATATTAACCTTACTCTCATATTAGCCAAAAGATATAAAGTTTCAAAAAGACAAAATACAGTTTCGGGAGCTTTCGGCTTTGCGCCTTTATCAACCGTTATCATGATAACGGTTGATAAAGGCGCAAAGCCGAAAGCTCCCGAAACTGTATTTTGTCTTTTTGAAACTTTATATCTTTTGGCTAATATGAGAGTAAGGTTAATATCTCTTATTATATTCATAATGTCTCTCAAAACTGTGCTAAAAACCTTTCACTTTTATGTTCTTTAAGTCTCGTTTCGACCCCCCTCCCCGTTTCTCCCACGTAGCTTTTGATACACCCACCACAAGGAATTTCGTATACTGTGTTATATCATCCATGCTACAATTTTCGGAGAATCGGATGTGTCGGACGTCTCTTTCGGTCTTCGTTTAATCATCTCGTGTATCTTCGTTCCCGTGTTCGTTGCTACTCGTACGCCTGTCTTCTCCAGTGATTTGGAAATAACCTCCGCGGGTCGAATTCTGGTGACCGGAGCCTAAACGGAAAATGTCACTCATGCTGCATGCCAGTTGAACCGCGTCGTTGACCTCAACACATGCAATGCGTTTTTATCGCTCTAAAATGTCGTTAAATATTATTCAAGATTTACAAGGCTGGGCCATGGGTGCAATTTTTCGCCTCAATATGCAACAAGCAATTCCACCCAGTTGTACAATGTTTTAGAGGGTTCAGAGCGGATTTTTTTTTTCATAAAATGTAGAAATTTGAAGACATGCTATAAGGGATGAAACTACCGTGGATGTTTTTCATTTTAACAATACGCATCGACTGATATACACCATGATCTTTTCCAGTCACGTCATGACCTTGACCCTAGGTCAAATTTTCAGTTGACATTTTATGGAAAAATTAAAACTGACTGACGTGTCTCGATAAATGGAAATCGTGCCGGTAGAATCAATATTCATTATCGTTCAGTATTCTGTGCCACAAGTTATAGCAGAAAAACATGTGCAGAAACGTCAAGTTGGACGCTTACGTTACGACGTTTTGAACGCCGTTTGCTGCGTATCGCTATGTGGCCCGGGGGCCAGGTAAGGTTGCGAAGTTAGACGGAGGTGGATATCTAAACCTCACCATCCCGGGCACTGACATTGAAATCCAGGATCCCCAGCGGAGCACAGAATAATCATTTATTGAATTATTAGGCTGCACGCTAAAAGACGGAACTGAACTTAAGAGGACGAAACTCCTTCCACTCAACTAAGTAGATATCAGATAAGAAAGAAATTTTTCGTTTCCTTATGGTTCCCTCGGTTTCTACGTAAGGTTCCTGCAAAGTGGTAGTTGTCTTTGAACATATGTTGTGTGTAGTTTGTCATTAGATAGTTTTTTTTTTTCTTTAGATGGCTGGATAAAAAAGAGGGTGAAACACAATACATTACTGAAAAAAGTTGGTCACCATGCAACATTATATTATTAATTCCACGCATACTGACACTTAGTTCTCTCACATAACATCATCAGAATATACACTTACAAATGATCTATCATACACACACATCCTAAAATGGTATTTATTCAGTAAACTTCCCAACGAGCTCCTTCCAAGTCACAGTACAACATGTTGGAAGGGTTTATTGATAACACTTAAGCGGTCAATAAACATATGCACACTTCGAAAGAAAATAACTGTTTAAATTGACCAAACATTTCAATTAGTGAGTAGCATGTTTATTGCCAGTGGCCTCCTCATAACAGGTGATTGGTTCGCAGACCAATTCACAAAGTTCAAAATGGTTAAATTTTAACTGAAAATAAACCAGCCAGCCTTCTGTGCTAAGGTTCGATGTCGTGACAATGAACACCATCATCATTAAGACATCATTCATCGCCTGATGGTGCCGCGCTTCACCGTATCGATATGACTGCTCACTGCGGTCGGACCATGGAAGAACTGGAAACGGTTAGTGTATCGGAGGCTGGCCTATAAGCGTCTCCGTGACGTCTCCTAGCTCTGCCGATTATTTCCAGTCGGGGTTGAAGAAGCCGCACTTTTTGCCACATATCCGATAGGAGAGCTGCAGCTCGCAGGCAGTCCTGGGCCGCCTCGGGGCCCGCCGGACGCATTGCCGGAGCCGCCGCCCCCCGGGCCGCCGCACCAGCCGCGGTCCCGGAGCAGCCTCTTTCTCCGGGGACCCGCGGCGGCCCGAGGGCGGCCGGATCAGGGCCTGCTCTGTCCTCCGGGGGCTCTGAGAGGCCGCGCCAGAACTGCGGGGCCCTCCGGTGTCCCCCACAGGCCGGGTCAGGTGCTGGTCGGAGCCTCAGCGGGACGGGCCGTGACCGGTGTCCGCGCAGCCCCGGTGCGGCCCGCTCACTTCCCACTGGTCTGCATCTGCTGTTTCAGCTTGTCGATGAGCGCCCCTCCGCCGCCGGCGGTTCGCTGCGCTATCTCGTCGGGAATCTCCACGCCCACTGCCGACAGAACACAATCAGGGTTAAACGCACATCAACGGTATGAGATGGCATCAGTGACACTGTGCGTTAGCCAGTTTAATTCCGTTTTGTGGTGTTTTTAACCAGAGAATATGACGCTGGTATAATTACATCATTCGGAGCACCATGCACGGGCCCTTTGAAATGGTACAAAACAATATCATTCGCATCTCACTTGTTATTGCTTCAATTACAGGATTCGATTCTTTTCAGCTTTAGCAGCACAGACTTCATTGCGTAGTTGCACAATTGACATTTGATAACATTTAAAAGCATTGGTGACTAGCACCCTTATATAAGCCCAAACGTTACCCACGATTATTGCCTTTACCCCCACCAGACCTGACATTTGGACATCAAGTCTGCAGTCTGCACCATACTCTTATTACCCATTGCCCCACAGAGGCGGGTCCAGGTCAGATTTTTTTTTTTTGGGGGGGGGGGGCAAACCATAACAATTTATCGATTCTTTCCATGCCTTCTCCATAGGCGTAATGTTAAAATTATGCCGTTTGGGGGGGGGGGGGCAAATGCCCATTTTGCCCCCTGGATCTGCCACTGTTGCCCCATGCACTGCGGCGGCGAGCGAAGGTGTGCTGCGGGTCTGCTTAGGGAGCCAGGCGACGGCCGCCCGGCGAGGATGTATTGCGGGTCTGCCTATAGCGCCAGGCGGCGGCTGCTCGGCGAAGGTGTATTGCGGGCTTGCCTACAGCGTCAGGCGGCGGCCGCCCGGCGTCTACTCACAGTATCGTTTGACGGGCTTCTGAATGCGACGGCCGAGCCTGTAGACCCTTGTCGGCCGGTCGAAACGCGTCTGATACGAGACGAACTCTGAATCAGAGACTTCCGGTGTCCTCTGGTAGCCGTACACTGGTTCTGAGAACACGAATAAGGCAGGTTTTGACACATGGTTGGATTGTAAACGAACATGGTTGTGTGTTTAGTCATAGATAACATGAATCCCCCCATGATAACATAGATACCATAGATGACATGATTCATGTTATCTATGGTTTAGTTAAAATTGATGGCTTAGCTTCACCATTTGCAACTCAGATTTACAGAGGTATGTAAGCTTTCAATCTAACTACCGATTGAACAGCGCATGTCTTTTTAGGTAGCCATGGTCCATCCTCAGCTACATTACACACGCATAATTAAAGACGTCACGGTGAAACAGTTCCAACGCCACGCCAAGGGTGACCCATGCACGTTCCACTGACCCTCGACATATTCCACCAGGTCCTCCGACGCCCTGTCGATGGGAACGGCGTCGTACTCGATGGAGAGCCTGCGGGCCGCGGCGGCGACCACAAGACCCAGCCAGAGAGCGAGTAGTACCGTCACAGTGGAGCACCGCGTCCCCATGGCCAGCCCGTCGCAGAGGTAGCTCACACCTGGCCAGAGAGATAACTAGAAGTCGTTTTAGGGCTGTCGTCACTACTTCTTGCATTGCATGTGGTGCCACTATTGTACTGCAACGCTACCGATACTACCGACACTAGGTATTGTTTTGCGTCAGGACAGCCGACAGCGGCGTCAACAGAATCGTATTGCGTCATGACAATCATCAGCAGTAGGTATTGTATTGTGTCGGAAGAATCTCGTCACTGTTGTATTGCTTCAAATGTCACTGTTGTATTACTTATTTTCCATTTTCTCTTTTTTATTCACATATTTTGGTGGGCTCCCTCAAATTTGCCACACAGTCCAGGACAAATTTGGTATGAAATAAAACATAAATGTCAGGTAAGCGGTTTATGGGTGATTTTCGCTTCATCATCGATGAATCTAATGTGAACATGACCTGTCAAATTCACGAGCACCGAGCCCATTGAAGTTCAGCGGGCGTTTCGCTCTGGTGCCCGAACGGGTTCTATGGCACGGCTTCCTGGTAAGTGCAATTGCGGCAAATGTTTGGTCGCCTACGAAACCTGCTAGGTTCATGCTGAGCCACAGCATGTATGTGGGCAGGTCATTTTATTGATTTTTGCCAATCGAGGTGACATATTTCATGGTAGCTTATTTTGTCGGGTAAAAGTGTTCGAACAGAAATTCTTGAGTGACACTAATTCTTTCAGAATGCAATAGCGGACAGCTATAAATCGAGATAACCTATCGGTCTAGATATAATCGTGCTCTAAGTGATACCGGATCCTGACCTTGGAAGTCGCCATAAAATACAAAACGGAAACATTCATTTGAGCAAATGGATGTCAGAAGTTGTGCCAACTTTGTGTAAAACGTTAGTTGCATTGTAAACTTACAAAACGTGCATACAAAAGTACACAAAAGTGTCGTTTGATTACTTACGTGGTCTAAGTATATGACGCCGTTCATGCTAATGTTTTCATTCCAAAACTATTTAGCCAAACGTGACAAAGCCCTTATCTTAACAGCTAAACACAGACAAGATTAATGCCTATATGTGGCTGGCTCAAACAGCATTAGCCGGACCCACTTACAGGGACAACGGATAAACGGGCCAGACGGGCCAACAGGCTTTCTTTCTTTATGGTCTTTCAGCCATATTTTCGGCTAGCATGCATCTCTTTTGCGGAAATAGAATTATGTCACTTGGCTTGTCAAAGTGCGTGCGATAATTGGTGAATCGCAAGTACTCAACCGTACATAGAGCAAGTCGTCAGCGAAGATTTTCTATCACGCTTTATGATAGGATTAGGAAAACGATTTGCTGCGCTCCGCTACACGTAATGTAAATCATTGGGCATTGAATGCAGATGTTATCACGCAAGTTGTCCTCTTACGGCTCTGATCACGATATTTGATGTCTGAAATCAAACCTACGTAACTAGCAGATAATTTGAAGTCATCTAAGTACTGCCAAAATGTAAAACTTCTCTACAACAGAGGAATGAAACTTCGATCTGACGCATATCGACGTCTCAGAATCACGTCCTTCCCACCCATTCAGCCCCTCTGTCGGTTACCTTCAAACTTTGCTGGTCTTTCCACTGTTTCCGTCCATTTTCAGGTTCCGCCGAGGGTCTGCCAGCTCTCCTCCCCTCTCCCCTCCCTTGCTAGTCCCATTCGATTCCACGTGGGTATTGTCCCAGTTTCCACTACCTAGCCGTTTGAATCTCCAGCTATCAGATGTAAAACACTTGGCTACAGGTCACGTTGGTCCTTACGGTAATACAATGTGTAAACCCGGAGCGACTTTGCGGCGGAATCGGAAGGCAATCTACAGAGTCTCACGTCACCCTTCCGTCCCAGGAAAGGAAATGAGACAAACTAACAACGCAAGTAAAGATCAAAGAATGCTGCCAAGTAGGGAAATATTACACAAAGTCACACACAGCAGGGGTTTCCTCTGTATTCAGAATATCAAAGAGCACGCGCATAAAAAGGCTTCCTTGCCTGAATTGCCGACTCTATTCAAGTGGCTCAAATGAGTTCAGAAGGTATGCTACTCGACATGCGTGTGGCGGCCAGGAGCGAGACTTGCCAACCCGCTTTATTGAGAAAGTCAGTGGCAATGGTTATTGCAGCACGCTCGTTATTTGTGTTTAGCTAATATCTATCGTATATCGTTCAGAGCTGCTGCGAGGAGCATGCTAAATGTGGGAAGTATCATTAGAATATATGACCTTCTCCTCGGAAAATGACAAAATGAATGAAAAGGATGGAAATCAGTTCTGCAAAGCTATCGAATTTAAAAAATGAATGCCTACCGCTAAACAAGAATGTTCTCGCTAAACAAAAAATGTCTCTCGCCAAACAAAAACACGAGACCTACTGACCGCTAGTTTAGGCACCATTGTTTCTTCTTTAGCTTTACGCTGTTGATGACATGTGCTTGTTTTCATCTTATTTATCTAGATAAGTTCGACTACGTTTTTTTTAAGTTGGGGACTGGGAGACTAATTGGATCCTACCCGCGTATATTTGCATCTATAAGGATATTTTTGGACGTAATTCCCCGATTAAATTTATGTTAAATTCCCTAGGTATATCTTGTTCGTCGTACTTTCACCGAAGGCCATAAGCCGAAGAAGTCCCCTAGCTCTTGTATCAGCCCAAGCTTATGATTTCGAGGATAAAGAGAAGATAAACGATTCCAGCAAATATTACGCAGCTGGGATATTATTTGCACAATAAAAATACTCAACTGACCTTTGGAAGAGCTTGGAGTTAAGTGCTTACTGAGTTTAGCACCTAATGTAGTGATATGTTAATGTAAGGGAAATTACCAATAGAAGAAATTGTTAACAGACCATAGATGGGGCCGGGTTTTGGTTATTTCTCTGGTTCGTCTTTCGCAGAAAAAGTCCAGGAGCAAAAGCTGACAGTGCCTCCCGTGTTGTACAGAAAAGATCACCAAGCGCAAGTGGTCCAGATCTGTGCGAAAACTGTCTTTTGTACACGTCGGCATCCTGTTTATCAATGAGCAATCAGCGGTAAGCTGTCGCATGTGCCGCTCAGCAGCGCGGTGGGCGGCTGGCTCGGCTGTGGCCGGTCCACCTCATCATTGCGCGGCATTGAGAGGTCGATTGGCGGCGCGGCTGGGTGTGACGCCCCGCCACCGACGCGGCCGCGTCCCCAGGAGTCCCCTCTGGCCCGCCGCCGGCCGGCAGAGCGCCGGCTTCCGGTCCAACAGGGACGGGCTCCCGCGAAATGGTGGACCAGGAAAACCCACGCAGCACGCACCATGCCTCTTGTACCGGATTATCGAACGAATAAAGTCTATCCGATAGAGCCATCTACAAGAATTATTCTCACAGACGCCCATTTTTTACAAACATATTACGGATCACCGCAATTATTGGCAGTCAACTCTCATAGGAGACCAATCTAGTCAATCACGAAGTTTCTGTCTCGGGAAATGCAAGCGACTCATACGTAATGCACATTAGACCAAATCTTCCTTAAATTGGTAATATTTTTGACAGCAGACTAACTTTGGCAGAGTCACCCCGAAAAAAAAAATACAAAACAGGTACAATAGCTTATGACTAAGAACACAATTTCAGACATCGACTGAAACATTGTCGAGGCATTAGAAATGAGAACGACCTGATCACAGACTCTGAAATTCATATAGGAGAGCACGTCAGTGTTACCTAAATTTTCTTATTTTCCACTTCCAGCTCTTTGAATGTCAAAAAGGAACAACATGTTGTTCCATAACGGCTAGTATGCATACTAGCCGTTTTCCGACGGTCTCTCCGGCGAGTGCACCTAATTTGACCAGATCTGCACCTAATCTCTTTTACAGCAAATATCTTCATTTTATGAATTTATTTCCGTGTTTTAATCGATGATGCTCTCTGATAATACGACAAAGCAGGCATATAAGTGTAACCCTAGCTGATAGCTACTAAGAGACACACTCAACCTGATTTGACCAAATCTGCACCTGATCTGCACCAGATGTGCACCAAATGTGTACCAGATGGCCGTCGTGAAAACGGCTACTATTTACTCCATGTGCGTCGATCAGGTAATTGGATAAGCTGTGAAATACCGTACAGCAAGCTTAAACAATTAGGTGTTCTGGCCGGTTAAATGCTTCATTCACACTGAAAACAATATCACCCAAAACTGGCGAGTAAACCGGTGCCTCGCGGGTACCCCTATCCGCAACCATTTTTAACCACCCTCCCAGGAGTCAATTTAGGACATAACACTTTCGCAATTCACTCTGGAGAGTAGTAACCCTCCACGACTATTCGCGCACCAGTGGCTCGCGACCCCTCCATCGAAAGGTATTCATCGACGCCTACCTGGCAGCAGCGCCCCACAAACCCCTAGGAGATGGGGTTACCCTCCACGACTACCCTTCGCCGACCAAGTCACGAGGGCCAAAAAACTCCCACGCTTGACCATATTTGCGGGAAAATATCTATATTATAGCAATCTCACAGCTAGAAAACATCGGTGAGAAAGTTTCACATCGGTGGGAAAGGTCAAATCGAATTCCCATAGATATTTCGACATGACTCAGTCACCGGCAGTCATGGAGACCGCCCGAAATCAAGAAGATGTGTCGCCGCTGCTTTCGTGACCTATATAAGAATCAAAATAGTCTCACTTGGTAGTTTCGGAAGAAAAAGCGTTGCCAATCGTCCCGTGATGAATATTGCAGAGGTTTTAAAAATGCACCATAACAATTGTACTTTCGCCCCTACTTGAAAACCGCCAAACAATGTGCCAATATATCATTGGTTCAAAAAAAGTTAAAAAATTGTTGTAATTCAAAACTGTATGAGACAACGCCATCTAGTTGTAACAGTAGATCCAACTCCTTCAGGGCAGGTTATGTAAAGGTTCGCCATCCACGGATACGCGTTTACGATGCCTCGAGTAGTTCCAACTCTTTCAGTGAGGGCCGTGCCAATGACTCGACACCCACGGGGACAATATCCGGTGCTGG